TTATTACAATTGCTATTACTATTATTAATATTAAATATTTAATGTTTATGAGACTATTTGAAGCCTTATGGCTCTCTACAGCCACCTGAAGGGAGGTTGCAGCAAGGTGGGGGTCAGCCCCTTCTCCCAAAGTGATAGGATGAGAGGAAACAACCTCAGGTTGTGCCAGGGAAGGGCTAGACTGGATATTAGGAAAATTTTCGTCACTCCAATGGTGGTCAAGCATTGGAACTGCCTTCCAAAGGGAAATGATGGATTCACCATCCCTGGAATTTTTCAGAGGATGTGTGGACATGGCACTTGTGGATATGATATAAGGATAAAGATGTTAATGGTTGGACTCAATGATTTTAGAGGTCTTTTCCAGCCTTAATGATTCTATGATTCTATGCATTAATTCATTTTCCAGTGCCCTGTATTGAGATTGTGGTTTCCTGTGTTGGGAGCCACAATACACAGTGTTTACTAAGGAAAACAATAAAACTCTTAACAGTGAAATGAGAAGATTCACGAGGGCTGAGAGGAATTTTCTTTACAAAACCTCAAAAAAAAGTTTTCCCCAGGATTTTCATGGGCATCCTTTCAGGTGAAAAACCTGAATGGTCAGACAGCAGCAGCAGATAAACTGCACTGCCACACATCTTGTTCCAACCTTTAAACCCAGATTTACAACAGTGTTAAAGGCATGAATTCTTCTGCAGCTGCGTAGAGCCATATCTGCTCTGGTTTTTTCCTCCGTCTCATGTGTCTCATCTGAGAAAAAAAAAGGTTTAAAATCCCTAGTGAAGTCATATGTAGCTACAATAAATGGTAAAATGAGCCATACACAGATGGCTTCCACTCCCTCTCCTTTTAACAATAAACCCTGGATGGAAATTTGCAGCTTTGCAATAAGAAGGCAAACTGTACTATCTTGACCCTAGTGGAAAAAAACAAAAACAAAACCAAAGCAAAGAAAAAAAACCAAAATCAAAACAAAGGAAAGCAAACCAAACAAAACAAACCAACAAATAAAAAACCCCAAACCCAAAAACTAACAAAAAACCCCCAACGAACCAAAAAACACTGTTAAGACTAGTAGTTACACTACTTTGTTTTTCCTGTTACAGAGACCTGTGATTAAAAAAAAACCCGTGTAGCAATATTAAGTGGATATGATTTTTTTTTTTTTTTTTAAAAACGGCTTTAAAAACTTCACAAGTATCATTATTAGTGTACCTGGTACTATGTATGTGGCTCTGTTAATTTATTTTTGATTTATATTTGTGCATTTCTGCTCTCTGCAGTCCTCTGCAGACAATTACAGCAGTGTTTTTCTTCAGGGTTGCTCACAGTGCTGGGAAGCAGATTTTACATGATCTTGAAAGAGTTCGGTTTGCATTAAAAAGACACATTCTCCAGCTGCGTTATATGACTTAGATACTGCAAAGAGAAACCTGTAATACCAATAAAACTGCAGCAGGTGGCAGTGGAAGGAGGGTTAACCGGGGCCATGAGGCAGAGGAGGGGACCAAAGAAACTAACTGGGAAAGAACAACAGGAAGGTTTAAAAGGTTTCCCTCTTTCTAAGTCCCCTGAAATAACGGCCCAGTGTCACAGCTGGTTGGATAGGAAGTGTTGGCTTGATGGTGCTGAGCTAGTCAGAGGTCAGGTGCAGAAGGTAGTAAGGGAATAGCTAATTTCTAATTTGGTTGATGGCTTCTGAGGACTTTGTGGGAAGGAGGAATTTAGTGGGAAGGATTAAAGTCAATATTTTCAGTCAGCCAGTATGGATGCTGTTGACTTTGCATACTTCTATTTTTGTGCTTTGCAAGCAAATATTCAATTATGACTTTTGCTTTCGTCAAATAATATGTAGTGAATAACGATGATACACTGAAAACAGTTGTTCTCTTGTAAAGCTAACTTTCTACCAGAGGCAAAAGAAAGTGCATTCCCCAGCTCATAGATTATAACTGTCTTTTGTCTTTATCTTCTTTTTGAATTGGTTTACAATTAAAAAGCAGATCACAGTAGTACCAGGAGTATGGTTAGCATGAATTTAAAATTGTTCTTTATATACGAAAAGTCACAGTGAGAATAATTTTGAGGAGGAACAATTTCTATTAGTTTTAGTCTGCTAAGAAAAAGGTTGGCAATACCCAAATCAAATGATTGAAGTTTTGTACAACTAAACTTTTCAGGTGTTTCAGCTGTGAGGATTAATTTATAACACAACATAGTTGTTGTTCTGGGGAACTTGCAGTCTTTCTAAATAATACATATATGAAGACCTACTGGGAAAAATCCTTTATCAAATCAAATGGACAAAATGTTACAATTCAAATACAAATAAAATTAATAGGCTTTTTGGTATGCAGGGGAAATTTCAAAAGCAAGATATGAGAAGGAAAACAAAGCACTGCAAGAGTGAGGGATACAAAAAAATAACAATTGGCAAAGAGGCTTGTAAAAAGGGGAAAGGCTTGTCCATGCTCCTCCACAAAGAGGAGCCCAGAAGTTGGGGACAAACCTGGACACTGTATGGAAGAGAAATGGGAAATGAGATGCTGGAATAGAGAGATAAGATTATGTGAGCAAAAACATTTCATGGATGCAGGAGGGAGATATGATGCAAAAGCAGAGATGAGGTTGCAACATTCTGGGTGAGTCAGGCTATGCTATTTTATGACCTTTCTAGATACTACAAATTCATCCTTGGATAAATTAGATTATTATCGTGATATTCCAGATATGGACTGTATAGACTTCTGTAATTCTCTCTGTCTAAAAAGCAACATATATACATATTTCAGCATATTATTTTGTTCTAAGACTGGCTTTTCCATAACTAAAAAAGTACATTATATCCATGTATATATTTGCATGCAATTCAGCCAAAAAAAAACCCCCAAACCCTATGACCTTTCTTTGTTAGATGTTCCATTTTGGTGACTGTAAGCTATTTTATAAGACAAATATTTACCCACAAGGGCACTGGCCTTTTTACTGAATTTGCATTGCATTACCAGAATAATAATTCTTCCTAATTCAAAGCCCTGGGGATCTTGGAGCTAATCCTAAAGAACATCATTACATTGAAAGTCCTTGCCGAGATTTTATGTGATATTTGTCCTATTTTTAAGCATGAAATTTTGTCTAGCTGCAGAGTCAAGGACCATCTCATGGGATATTCTTTAGAGATGGGATGCAGCACAAGGAACATTTTTATGCTCACATTAATTTAGTTGGAAGGTCAATATTAACTCAAGGAACTATATAACAAAGAAATCCAACTTATGGCCAAGTGACTCTATGGTTGTACTAAAATCTGGAAACAGCATTTGGAATTTAAAGGATGATTTAGGAGAGCTAGAAGGCGGGTTATGATCCACATAATTTTTAATACAGTTTCTCCATGCATTTTTATTCAAATAAAAGTTGACATGGAGAAGTGGAAGACTGGCTGCATAATAGATTATTAACTTCCCCTGAAATTTTCTACCTAGTATAAAAGTTTAGAAATAGGCCTTTTTTATCTTAATCATGCTGATTTGCTGTTTTTAAAAGAGTGTAACAAAAACCTGCATTAATCACATTTCAAAATACTTTTTAGTATTTTTATTTTAGTTGTTTTCGCTGAGCCTTGGATACATTTTTGTAACACTTAACTTAGTCCAGCTGAGGTTGCATGAAACCAAAACACATCTTACTCTTCCTTCTCTGGTTGAATAAGAGCATTCTTCAAGGGCCAAGGAAGATGATTTAAATAAACAACTAAAGTTCAGAAGCTTCTGGAGCTTAATTAGCATTTCATCTCTATCCCACAGTTATTCATGATACCAAACAGTTCTACATGTCAACCTGCAGAAAATTCCATAGACTCTGAAAAATGCAAGAGAGACCCTCAGCAACATGATGTTTACTGTCTGACCCAAAGAGAGCAGTGTCCTTTTGGATGGAAAACCCTGTTTGTGTATTGGGGCTGCTGGACAGTTCACATGAAGTGGTAAGACAAAGTCTGAACTACTGGGCTGCATCTAGAATTGCTAAGTCTGCTGTTTATGCACTCACAGTAACCAGGTGTGTCTTTTTTTGTGCATGTCATAGTAAATTGTTCCAAAATATAGGCAGTCCATACAGTGTAAGCACTGCAGAAGGAGCAGCAATGGAGCCATTGATGCTGCCCTTTAATGCAGCCTTTGCCTTCATTAGTCTTAAGTTTGCTAATAGTTCGTTTCTCATATTTGAGAAATAACTTTTCTGCAGTTAACATAGTCATTTAACTTGTTTTGTAAAAATAATTAAAAAAAACCCAACAAGAATGAAACAAAACCCAACCAATCAACCAAAAACCAACCAACCAACCAAACAAACAAACCCACACACTTTTAGGGTATAGTTTAAATACAATGATTTAAAATTCTTCTGAAGCTCTTTCCCAAATGAAGCTGTTTCCCAGCGGAACCCAAAGAGAAACATTAGGACGGTTTAAAAACTGTTCCTGTTCTGTGAAAGTATGGAAAGCAAAATGCTGTAAGTGGGTATTTGGGGGTTAAAGTATTTTGGGAAAGCTAGGTGCGATCATATGTTTATATTATAGGTACTCCTATAAGCTGAGAATGTAGTTCTTTAATGACGGCATTAGCAGTAGTAAAGCCCACCAGGGACACTGACGGTGCCTTCCCCTGAGGGGCAGCTGATCAGTCAGTCCTGAGCTCACTTCGCAAGTGAAGGCAGGCTGCTCATTTCAGTCGCAGGCTCAGGTTCTCCACTACAGGCAAAAACGCTTTCCTCCTCCTCCTTCGAGAGAGCACAACTTGTGACGCTTTTGCGGCTGAAAGTGTAAAAAAAAAAAAAAAAAAAATCCGGCTGCGAGATAAGCGGGAGGAGGAAGGGCAGCAGGCACAGCGGATGCTCCCGCCGCCCCCCCAGCAGCAGGGGAAGGGCAGGGGCCGGGGGGCAGCGCTGCCTCATTGTCTGGAGCCCCGCGATTCCCGGCTGCCTCCGCCAGGGGTGTGCAGCTCCCGCCGGGAGCCGTGTGCCGGGGCCGGGCAGCGCAGCCCGAGTGCTCCCGTGACACACCGGAGGAGAGGTTTTCTGGCTGCCGCTCCCCGGGGACCGCCGCTGCGGGAGGGGGGCAGGTCCGGAGGTGTTGCGTGCGTGTGCGGGGGGATGCGGAGCGCGTCGGGCTGAGGTTGTTCTGGCCCCTGGGAAGCGCTGCGAGAAGAGGCAGAGAGAGGCAGCGGGAAGAGGCAGGAGCAGCACTGAAGTACAGAGCAGCTGTTTCCGAATACTCTGATTCTTTTGGGTACCTCAATGAACGTGAACATGGATTCTGTCACTGAAATCTTCTTGAAGCTGCTGTTTCTCCTGTCTGTTCCTCACCGACACATGGCACTGGCAGGGAATAAATGTGAGTATTGCATATGATTTAAAACTCAATCCGGAGTGTTTTGAAAACTTCTGGGGTATTTTATTTGCATTAAGAGTAAATATTATTTTTGAGAGGTGTTTATGCTCTGAAATCATGACAGCAGGCTGACAGCCTGAAAATGTTCGAAAATCCTTCTATAGATTTTTGTCATGAGTCTATGTACAGAATATTGTTTGTAAAGCTTACAGTGTAAGAGTGTCTGAAAGCAATATTTTACTGAGGGATGCATGTTCAGCCCCATTTTCATTTTTGTTTTCTAAGTGCAGCATTTTCCGAGGAATTGTGTCTTACATGGAAATTACTGGCAGACTTCTATTGTGTAGTGTTTCAGCTTGGTTTTTAGCAATTGAAAATTTTGAAAGCTGGTTTCCGCATCTTCTGAATTAAGCTGTCACTCAACTTTAATGGCAATCACAGTGCAGTTCAAAAGCAGTAGAAATACAACAAGGAAAAATGTGGACAGCAAGAGTTTAAGGTCTCTGCATTCATCATTTAGGGAGTATTGTTCATGCATGAATAAAGAGGAGAATGCTAACTGTTCCAGCAGAAAGTTGTTTGGTTTTTTTTTTTTTTAAGTGAGTTAGCCAGTAGGGTACTATCACAAAATAAAGATAGTGGTTACAGTTTTAAAGGCAGTCTGCTCCCTAGGAGGCAAATTATATATGTATCTGAAAATGCCTGCTTTCAGTGCTAAATTAGATTATTATCTTTAAATTAAAAAAAAAAGAAAATTAAAAACTTACTTACTAAGCAACTAATTTTCAGAGCTTTTATAATTTAGTAATAGATCTCAGTTATTCTTGTTCCATTTGATTCAGGTTGAACAAGCTGAAGGATTTCATTTTGTGTTCTGTGGTAGTACAGTAGCCTAAATGCCAAATGCTCATAACCTGAACTGAACATATTTTCTACCCTTCCTGTTAAGGCACTGGTTGTGCATCACAGGAATGGGGAGGGCAGGAGCAATGCTTCTGTGGGAAGAAAGTGCATGCCAAAGCAAGGAGGAATGTTCAGGAATAACCTTACAGCCCAGTGGCAAGAGATAGCTCTCTGGAAACATTTGAGCAATGGCAGAGAAGTTTGGAGTGCTCCATGGATCTCTAGCCTAGGGTTTTGCATATGGATGGTTTGTAAACTAAACATGCTCCCATGAGCCAGACACTCACATTGCAGCACCAAAATGATCTTGTGCTGTCATTCAGTAATGATATCTCATTTGATACTCAAGAGCATAGTGTAGCCCTAAACATGAATACTAAGTTCCTCTTGTTAAACACTCTGCTGCAATCCAGTCACAGCTTTAATTCTCTTCATCATTCTGCATTGTACGGTTTATGAATACATCCATTTTCACAAGACCATGATAATTGAATTGCACATTAATAGCATTTGGCACTATGCACAAAACTAAATCAGTTGCTTACGGGGAGGCATATTAAAACCATTGCAAAAAAAGACTTGCATCACACAGCAGAGCTGTAAAGCACTAGAGGTCACTCTTACAACTTAGGAAGCAAGGTTTGAGGAAGAGGCTGAAGCTTTCCAAAGCAGGATTCTGAAGGATAAAACAAATCAAGTATGAAATACATCTGCTACTGGCTTTCTCAATACGTGTCAAAAACAGGCCAAAATCAATTCCAGTATCAAATGGTTGAATTGAATGGACAGATTTTTTTTCACATATATACTAATATTTAGAAATGTATAGTATTTTTATTCAGGAATAAGTCCTAGCTCCTATGACAAAACATTCATCTGATCTGAATATATAAGAACTCTCACCCATGCTACAGGCAAGGAAACTTATTGTGGGAAGAATAAATTAAATTATTTAAATTAAAGACTGAGCATTAACATATGAAGAGAACTTGGCCAGTCTAATGTATATTATTCATTTTCAATATCTAATCTGGGGAAAAAAGTTCCCCTTATATATTATTTTTGAAGTGAACATTTCTGTAGAAGAGTTAGTTTATTTTGGAAGTGACAGTTTCCATCTCAAGTATCACAGTATAAAATTTGCCAGTGTGTTAGGATTCATAAAACTACCTCAGGAGAAAAGGTTTCTCATAATTACTGATTCCAGTAGATCCATACTGGAGCCATTATCTACCCATTTGAATTTATTTTACTCCTTTCTTCTTGAGATGTTGAACAGGAATTGAAATCCTTCTCAATAGGTGGTTTTACTATTGCCATTAGGGCATTTAAACATGTTTACCAAAAGAGGTAAAGCTTCATTTCCTTGCATGAATTCTGATGGCTAGATTGTCCAGTAGACTGCCAACCATCAAAGAAAATAGAAAATAGGGTTTTTAGGTTTTCCTCTATATTAATCTGTTTCTTTTCTTTTAATTTTATGGGTCTTTCTGTAGTCTCAGATCCTGAACACCTAAGTTTTTTCTTTGTCCTTCAGGCCAGCTGCTAGTAAGAAAAGACCAAAGTAAAGACCTTTACACTTCACCTTGAAGTGTCAATGCTAGTGTTACGAGGTCAGTTGTATAAAGAACATTTCTTGGATCAAAAACTTATGTGTTCGGAATTATTCTTGTCTTAAAAGAACCACGGTGTTCCTCTTTTGAGTAAAATGATTTTGAATTTCTTAAGTTGTCTGGAGGTAGCAGACCCTGCCGTCTAGAATATGCAAGTTAATTTCTAGGGTCTTATTTTTGGGTTTGTTTGCTTGCCTTGAAAATTAACGGTGACACTTCCAACCAAAAGAGGCAATAATTGGTCCTGAAAACTCAAATATTTTAAAAGTTTTACAGTAGTGCTGCTTAGTGGTTTCCTATGGTTTCTTCCTCCCAAAGAATTGCACTTCCAAAGCAGTTGAAAGAAGTTTGAAGTGCACTAAGTGTATAAGGTCAAGTGTGAGTTTTAAATGAAGTATTAAAGCAAGTACTGCTGTAAGTTTTTTTTCCACTGGAGCTATGAAACATTTTTATTTTATTGGGAACTGGCTCTACAGTTGTAAATCAGCAAGTTACTAAATCATCCCTTGAAAACCTGCCAGAAATTGGTACTCCAATAGGTGCAGTATTTTTTTAAAAACTCTCTAAAACTGAAGTGTTGCACAAAATGTAATTAAACCCTCTATACACATCAACTCAACTGTGACCAAAAATTATTAAGGTTAATTTTGACAGTGAATGGAAATAAAGAGAACAAATTAGGGACTTTCCATGCAAATTCTCACCTCTTCATACCTACTTCTTTGTGTTAAAACTCTCCAGTTTCACAGAAACTTTTATTAATTCACATTTTGATATATGTACTATGATAATCACAATTTTTATAAATGTGTGTTTATTTTTATTTCTACTACGACTACAATTGATATTATTTTTAAATGTCAGGGATTTCTTGCTAATGCTAGAATAGAGTACCTCTCTAAAGCTGACAGTGAATGACTGTTAATGAAGGTTTTCAGACTGAGTGAATACATATATTGATTATACTATGAAATGCAAGTCACTGTACATGTAATATCCCTAGGGAAGGGATTACTTGCTAAAAGGAAAATACTGTATCTTAATTTAGAAATTAATATCATTTTGATGTTAATCATGGGTACCAAACAGTTCTGTAGACTAACTGGCAACTTTATGGAATTGCATTAAAAATATACTAAACTGTTGTTTATCAAAACCAATTTAAGATGTTGTTCTTTTACCATTAGTTCTTGATTGATGTGAACTGTAGGGAACGAGAAAGTAGACATTTCTTCAATTTTATTTTAGCTTCATTAATATTTATCTTCTGTTTATTATTATCTATCTCTACTATGAGATAGCAATGGAGACCTCATCAGAGATCAGGCCATCCCTGGGCAATTATTTCCATGAATAAAACATTACAGACATCTCTAGTATATTTGGCATGTTTTTAGTACAGTAACATCAAAAGGTTGTATCAACATCAAATCTAAACTAACACCAAGAGAAAAAACTATCAAAAATATTTTTTTCAGTCTTTCAAGGCTTAGAATTCACAGAAAGGCCTTGGGTTGATTACACTGAGTATAATCAACAATTTACATCCCATTGCTCTAGGCTTTCAAATTCCCATGAACACACTTGTCCCTGAGCTCAGGATGGATAGAGGAAACTTCATCATGACTGAAGGAGAGTGACAGACAAATAATGACACCTCAAAGTAGGACAGACTCAACCATAGGAATAAAATGCAGTACGTTATATGTAAAATATGCTGTAAGTGCTATTAATAACATTTGCTTCATATGTTAGAATCATAGAGTCAGAATCACAGAATCAGCTGGGTTGGAAGGGACCTCTGAGATCATCAAGTCCAACCCTTGATCCAACCCCGCCGTGGTTCCCAGCCCATGGCACTGATGCCACATCCAATCTCTTCTTAAAAACCTCCAGGGACAGAGAATCCACCACTTCCCTGGGCAGCCCATTCCAGTGGCTGAGCACCCTCTCTGGAAAGAATTTCTTCCTAATATCCAACCTAAACC